GTCATGATCCCAGGGTCCTGGGATCAAGCCCCGCATTGGGCTCTCTGCTCAGCAGGGAGCCTGCTTCCTTCTCTCTCTATGCCTGCTTCTCTGCCTACTTGTGATCTCTGTCAAATAAATAAAATCTTAAAATAAATAAATAAATAAATAAATAAATAAAAATAAACTTCTCCCACTGCAGTATTTAGGAAGACATTAGCTTTAGTTGAACATGTGCACATATTCTAACAAGGGTATTACCCTACTTACAGCATCTTCTTTTAAGATTTCTTTTGTGCAACTAGATAATTTGTCCGGACACAAATTTAAGAGATGCAAATGTAGTGTGAAGAGAAACACCTAAATGTGGTGCAAAGTACCATCTTATTCAATCACATCCAGTATTATTAGCACTACCAGATGGGGAAAAAATGAACTGAAATTTCACACTTCTGCCTTTTACTTCCATGTGATTTCTTCATATCCGATTCAGTGATGCACACGGGGTAGGTTAGATCTTTAACACTAACAAGCTCTACCTCTCTAAACTTCCCTTCATTCAGACACTGACTCTCAGAATTAGAAAAGATACATAGTGATGATTGGTTTCACTAAATTCATGATCCCAAATCTCAAGTGAGTACTCAACATGTGAAACAACCCTTCATTCCAAGGTATGTCAGTCCTTTCCATTGTCAAAACTATAACTAATCACTTTCTCCTTTCCATAAACTTCCCATAGCCTTCCAGCCCCTTCTCTGCCTAATGCCTTTGGCTCCTATTTCATTTAAAACCAGGCCACCCAGACGGAACCTCCCATCTTTGCCCACCACATTTATATTCATGCCATACTCTGCCTGGGCTCTGTACAGTGAACGAAATGGAAACCGGGCACTGGTGACCCATTCCCCTCCTCCTCTCACCTTCAGAGACCTTTCTTTTGCAACTGTACTCTCGGTAGACTCTCTCTTATGTAGTAGAAAAATGCAGCCTCTTCTTTGACCCTCTTTCTACTTCAATGGTAGAATCCTCCAATTGCCTACTAAATACTGATGGAGCAAGCCCCAATTTTAGTAAGCATAGTGCAATCCAGCCTTCCCAGCAGCTACGTGAAGCCATGTGACTATACATAAACTCTGCTCAATGATACAAGCAGAGGGGAGTAGGAGTCTAGGAAAGCTCTTTAGTTGAAAAAGGATCAGTTCTTCTCCCTCCTTTTCTCCATCACACTCAGACATGAATAGGAGATCTTTCTTTCTTCCTTTCTACTCTTTCAGATTTTATTTATTTGACAGAGAGCGAGAGAGCAGGAGCAGGGGGAGTGGCAGGCAGAGGGAGAAGCAGGATCCCTGCTAAAGTAGTACTCTGGTATCATGACCTGAGCCAAAGGCAGACGCTTAACTGACTGAGCCACCCAGGCGACCTGAGGCCGCTCCTTTCCAAGCAACCAGCCTGCCGTATCCAATTCTCTGCTTTTAGTCTCTCAGCAGCACGAGACACAGGTGATGGCTCACTCAGCCCCAAAACACTTTTTCTGATTTCTGGAAATCCACCAGACCCTGATTCCTTCTTACCTCCCCAGTCACTCTGATTCTTCATGCCTTCTCCCTGCCTTCCTGACTTCTACATTTTTAACACTCCTGCTCTCTGCTCCTATTCCTTTGTGATTGTTTTAGACCCATGGTTTCAAATACTATTTATACTCTGATGACATTCTGATCTCCGAATTCATAAATCTAAACTAGATGTCTGACGTCTCTACTCAGGTGTTTAAAAGACATCTCAACACTGGGGAGGTATGTGCTAGGGTGAGTGCTGTGAAGTGTGTAAGCCTGACGACTCACAGACCTGTACCTCTGGGGCTAATAATACATTACATGTTAATTAAAAAAAAAAAAAAAAAAGACATCTCAAACTTTACTTCGCCAAAAAATTCTCTCTGTTTCTGAATTACAGTCCTTCCCACCTCAGTATATACTCGGCTGCTCAACGAAAACATGGAGTCATCCTGGACTTCCTTCTCTCTCTCTCAATCCACCCACATTCATCAGCAGGTCTTGTTGGCTCTGCCTCTGAAGAACATCCATCAGTTCTCTCTGTCCCCACTGCCACCACGCTGGTACGAGCCAACATCACTCACCAGACCCGTGCGATGGACAACGAGTCCCCACCTCAAATTCCCCAAAGTCCACTTTCTAAGCAGCAGCAGCCAAAGCAATCTTTTCAAAGCACAGATCTGACTGTGTGTCTTCCTTCTTAGAATGAAATCTAAACTCCCCGACAGCCTCCCCGGCTCAGGGTGGCCTGTTTGACCTCCTCTCTGATTTCATCTCCAGCCATAACTGCCTCACATGCTGTGTTTCAGCCACACCAGGCTTCCCTTTCTTGTCTATTTTCTGAACACCCCAAGCTCTGAACTGCTTCAGGATTTTAATACCAGCTATGGCTGCTTCTAAATGTTCTTGTCATACATCTTCCCACTTCTAGCCCCTTCTCTTCCTCACTCAGGGGACCACCTCGGCTATGGCAGCTTCCCCCTAAGGCACCTGCTCTCATACTACTCTCATTTTCATTATAGGACACCATGTCATTCATTTTTTTTTAACTTCTTAAAAAATTTCATTTAAATTATTAGCATATACTGTATTATTAATTTCAGAAGTAGAGGTCAGCGATTCATCAGTTGTATATAACACCCAGTGCTTATTACATCATGTGCCCTCCTAATGCCCATCACCTGGTTACCCCACCCCATTAAATTTTTTTTAACCATCGGTTTCTTCTTAACACTATAAAGTACATGAGAAAAGGGCCGGAGGAATCTTGCTTACTGCTGAATTTCCAGAGTCTGGTACCATGACTAGCAAGCAGTAGGTGCTCAATAAATTATTTGCCGAACGAACAGAGAATATCTTTTAATTACAAGTCACTTAGTCTGAACCATTATTCTAGTGTTTAAACCTCTAACAGACCTGAGAAACAGTATCTGACTACCATATACTCGTCACTTAGTAACAGGGACTGCACGCCTCCTGAGCTTGGCAATTCCATCCTTGAATAACCAGGATTATTCAAAAGCCCTATCCTTCTAGAGCTGAAGTCTGGCTACAGTTGCTTCTATTCATTTGTGGAGACCTTCATGATCATGCAGAATACCTTTCTTATATTTTATATAAGACAGTGTTTCTAATATTTGAAGGTGGTGACTATAGCTTCTCATGGCTGAAGAGACCTAGTATTCTTTTTTCTTTTCTTTTAAGATTTTATTTATTGAGAGAAAGAGAGCAGATGTATGAGGAAGGGAAAGGCAGAGGGAGAGAAAGAATCTCAAGCAGACTCCACACCTAACACAGAGCCTGATGCAGGGCTCGATCTCATAAACCCGAGATCATGACCTGAGCTGAAATCAAGAGTCAAATGCTTAACCAGCTGAGAAACCCAGCGCTCTCCACAGTCCAAAGCTGCCCCGAAGCACACAACAAAGTCACATACTTAGTTATGAGTTATGCCATGAATATGCAACTCTGGCCCAATGCATCACTCCTCATCTGGTTGGATCAACCGATCTCTTTCTCGATGGACATGACTTAAGTTAACTCTTACTTCCTTTCAGTTCAAGCCCACACATGATCTCCAGTCTGTGTATCTGTCATACCACAGGATAATTACTGCCTCTATGATCTCAGTGCCTACCCTCATTCCTCCTCCTCTTCCCAGAATTCCTAACATTCACTTTTCCCAGCCCAAAAGATCTGCCTGTCCTCCGGAGGAAGGCGTCCTGGTCTCCTTTCTTACACAAAGGTCCTGATTTTCCCACACATGTAAACTAAAATTATAACCTCTCTTAAATTTCACACATGAGCCTGAGGCCAACCAGCACTACTTCCAAGAAAGAAAAAGAATCTTGTTTTCTTTGGCTTTTATTATTATACCACTGTGCACAGCAGCACTTTTTTAGAACCATCTGTAATCTACTTTTACTCCTTTTGCCTCCAAAACATGCTGACACCTTACTGAAATCATCTGGGTAGAGTAGTAACTTCTCAGAAGTTAATGATTAGATAAGAGAACATGGTTTGGTCATCTGAAAACATTCTTTATTTTCACAGTGTGTTAGGGTTAACACACAGTGTATTCTGGTAAAGAGAACAGGAGACTTAACAAAGTAAGCTGTGTGTTCTGGTAAAGAGAACAGGAGACTTAACAAAGTAAGCTGAAGAATAATGCTGTTTTAACATACCCTAAAAAAAAAACTCTTCAGGTAACACCCAAAGAGGCAAAATACTGATCACAAGGTAACTAAAAATAATCCACATATGTGATTAGCTATGATTCGGAAACACAATGTAAAACTTTAGGTTTCACTTTCGGCTCAAATCTGCTACAGTGATCTTTTAACCTACCAATCTATCTATCTATCTATCCATCCCAAAGAGTAATAATTTCTAAAAAAATGCTACATGGGATTGGTCTACTAGGATAGTTTTTGACAGGTGTAGCACAGATAGTTTGTGGGAATTCTGAGAATTATCTTCTAGATCTGTCTCAGTGGATTAAAATCTTGCCTTATTAGTTACTCCCTGCTCCTTAAAGATGGACCGTGTATTTTTCCCTCTACAAAACTTTATTTTTAATAAATGTAAACTCTTCTTGGTACTCCCCAGTTTCAATCCTATGGCATTTAATCAACAAGTCTCTTTAATCTCATCCAGAACCAGATGATTTTAAAGCAAATATAAGTATCTACCTTTTATATCTTTATTTCATTAATAAAATATTATGTGCATGGCACTCTACAGAAAAATGCAAAAGTATTACCTCTTCTAATGCAATTATCTTTCATATTCGCTCTAAAGAATTCTAGCCTTCTTTTTTAAGAAATTTTTTATTTTTAATTTTAAGAGTTCTAGCCTTCTAAAATCTGTTTTTAGAGGATTGCTCCTCCCTTTCTCAGTCTGGGAGTTGTCCTATTATGAACCTCTAAGTTCAGTTAAGAATTGAAAACAGTGAAGTCAACTTACAACATTGTGTGATCTTCTGGATGTTAGAAGAGATACGCTGGGCCAGTAGAGCAGGGTCACCACCAACTCCCGGAGTGTAAGACATAGCTGATTCGCTTATTCACTAATTTCATCAGATGTTGGCGGGCTGGACAGTTTTCTAAGCAGTCACCTACAAAACAGAAGTCACATAATTGTACTTTTAAAGTTATTGGCCTACATTTTCCAAATTATCACCTAACAGAGTTGAAATATGGCAAAGAAGACACATCAAACAGTAAAACTCTCATGGCTATCAAAAACACTGGCCTTTGAAAGGTCCCAGTCATGTTAAACAATTAAAATAAAGCTCAAATTGTACATTCCCTTTGAAAACTTTGATCTAAGGATGAGTTGCCAAGTCCCTTTTTTGTGTATAATTTTAATTGTTTACATATTTTTCTCCTTAACTAAAGTGCCAGCAACTATAAAGCAGGGTCTACATGCGACGTATCTTTTCTTTCTCCAACATTTAAAAATTTCTGACATGGGGTGCCTGGGTGCCTCAGTGGGTTAAAGTCTCTGCCTTCCGCTCAGCTCATGATCCTAGGGTGCTGGGATTAAGTCCTGCATTGAGCTCTCTGCTCGGCAGGGAGCCTGCTTCCCCCCAAGCCCTCTCTGCCTGCCTCTCTGCCTACTTGTGATCTTTGTCAAATAAATAAAATCTTTAAAAACAATAATAATTAAAAAATAAATAAAAATTCCTGACACAAAATTGGTATTTACATATTTATTACATGGTATACAAACTTCAGGGTGTCCCTAGAAATGTCACTTTATCTAATTTAACACACAGAGGAACAGCTTCAGAACATAGGACTGATGGGTCTCTAATTGTAATAGCATAGGTCAACTTTGAGAGGCAGAGCTGACAAGTGAGGGGAAAAGGGCATGCTCCGTAAAAGCTCACCACACCTTAGCAACAGAGCAATGAGAACACACTCCTCTTCCAGAAGCCCGCATGAGGACAGGAAGCAAAGCTGGGGCACTGCCACAGGAAGGAGGCGAGAGGGAGCTCTTTTCGGTCTCAATGCACGCCACACCACATGTGTCGCGATTTGGAAAGAAAGACGGAAAGGGTATCTCTGCATCAGGATTGGGCACAGCACAGACTCTCAACAACTCTACACCCATCTTTTCACTGAGTGCACTGACTGCAGCAAAGCTGTAGGCAGTCCATGTGTGAACCAACTCTCTACTGAGAGTCTGCTACGTGGCCAGCATGAAATGCAGCACTAGGGAGTGGCAAGCAAACAGGACAAGAATCTGCTCAATTCATGTTTGTAATTTAGGAGAGGGGAGAAACTTAGTAGAGTAAAACAAGAGCAACACAAATCAGCAAAAGGTCATGTGCCAGACAAAGGTGAGAGGCTAGGAAAAAGAAATTTTCACCATTGCCCTTATCTCGAAAGAATTTATGACACAGAAACAGAAGATGTGACTACCTGGGTATGACTGGTACAGAAAATGACAAAGGCAAAGATGTGAAGCCTGGGACGGGTAGACCCAGGATGCGTGTACAGGGCACTTGGCAGTGTGGAATTTCGGGAAGGCAGGGATGGTTGCTAGTCTACCTGGGATCAGGAGAGTCGTGGCTGGGACAAGTAGGAGACAACACGGAGAGAAATGACCCAACATTTATTGCCCATCTGAGAAATGAAATGCATTTCACACAGACTGTCTATTCTAATTTTAAAGCCTCCCCCTTAAAGGGGATAGTAGCAAATAAACCTTGTTTTAACAACAAGTGAACTGCGGCTTATAAAGATGAAGTAACTATAAATGTAATCCAACCACCTACCGTGTGGAGGTGGGGTTCAATCCCAGGGTTTGGGCTCCCAAGCCACCCATGCCTGCTACCACACAAAACTAAGGTCATGGAAAAGAGAGGGCCCTGAATGCTGGATTCAGTTTTACTATGTTGCAAGAAGAAGCCACTGGAGATTGCTGGTAGGGGAGAAGAGGGCAGTTCTGGCAGGAAGGACACCTGTAGAACTGCTGAGACAGGCAGAACAGTACTGGCTCCATAGCTGAAACTCTGGTGCAACGTGGAATGTCCCTGGCCACCATGGAATTCCTGGGAACTTTCAGATGCTCTCCATTCATCCTTCATTGATCCACAGGTCCAATTTACCTATTCTGGGCTCTTCAGATCTCACCTAGTCCTATGGATAGACCTAAATCTCAACTCAGACAGCAGAACTGCCTCAGCAAGATGGCAGACGGCCTTGGCCTTGGGCCTGCAGCCACCCGAAGAGCTGGGGCCCAATCAGAACAAGACTGGACTGAAACCAACACTATCGCATGCATCTCACAAAGCACCAATTAGATCTTGAAATTCTGCATCTTTTTTTTTTTTTCAATAAAACCTTGAGATATAATTCACAACCATGCAATTCACCCATTTAAATAAAGTGTACAATCCTGTCTCTGCAAACTCTCCCACTGTAGGCAACCACTAATCTACTTTATGTCTTCATGACTTTGTCTGTTCTGTACATTTCCTCTGAATAAAATCACACAATAAGTTCTTTTGTGACCAGCCTCTTTCTCTTAGCATGTTGCCAAGGTCTATCCATATCGTAGCATGGATCAATAGGTCATTCCTTTTCATTAACAATTAATATTCCACTGACAAAAACAGGCAATTCTCTCCTGGCTCACTGACACCTTTCCTTCTCCTTTCCCCATTAACTGGAGCTCTAGAAAAACTGGCTCACTGCCAACACAAACATATGAATGAGAAAACGTTTCTCATTTACTGTCTTCAGGAGGCTCCTCCCTCCACATACATAATATTAAAACATTCCCCTTAACCCTCGAAACTCATGAGAGCCTAACCTAAGCCTTCTCCCTGTTTTTTTTCCAAGGCCCCCTTTTTCCCTCTTCAGAGAATCAATCAATTGGCTTAAAACACCATCAGTTTTCCTCATCCCTTTACTCAAGCAACTAAATTCTCAAAAGTTCCTGCTGTTGAGATAACTGGGCTTCTTCATCCAAAGAGGGGCTGCTGCTGGACTGGCTGGGATCTCCTTAGAGGAAGGGAACTGCGGGTTATCACCTCAGCTCTGTGTTGAATGAAGAATGAAAAGAAATATGCAAATGATGGAAGAGAAAGATCCATTAAAACTCAACAGGATTAACAATGGGTAATTCTTATTTCCAAAGCATTTCGCTTAGGACTTCTAGATTTCTTTTCTCAGTCGATTCTTACGGCAGACCTCTGAGGTAGGTACACTTATTGCTCTGATTTTTCACATGAAAACACTAAGGCATAACAAGACTAAGTAACTTGCTTAATTTTAACAGCTAAAATTTGAAACTATATCTTACAGCGCATATTTTTGAAACACTAAACCATACTGCTTCATCATATAACAAAAATTCAGGACAGGTGAACCCACTCAATTAAAACAAAACAAATTTACCACCTTTCTGCAGACTCCACTCTTAGGATGAGGAACAGATAGCTACATGAGTAGATCAAGGTAACACAGCTGAATAGCTTAGTCCTTTTCTCTTATTCTGCTAATAATGATATCTAGAAGACAACAATGGATGGCCCTTCAGATGATGAAATATGAGAAATAAAGGAGCCAAATGACTAAATTTACTGCAAAAACATATACACAAATAGATAAACCACAGTTATAGCTAACTATAAAATGACTTAAAAGTTTATGATCTGGGGGCGCCTGGGTGGCGCAGTGGTTAAAGCCTCTGCCTTCGGCTCAGGTCATGATCTCAGGGTCCTGGGATCGAGTCCTGCATCGGGCTCTCTGCTCAACAGGGAGCCTGCCTCCTCCTCCTGTCTCTCTCTGCCTGCCTCTCTGCCTACTTGTGATCTGTCTGTCAAATAAATAAAATTTAAAAAAAATTAAAAAATAAAAGTTTATGATCTGTACATATAGACTAGAATCAACTAAGTTATGCCGATAGCTGCGGTCCACATCAGTCTCCAGCACTTAGCCCAGAGCTAACAAGCACTAAAGGACTCTTGATGACTATTTTTTTTTTTAAGATTTTATTTGTTTATTTGATAGAGATACAGCGAGAGAGGAAAAACAAGCAAGGGCACTGGGAGAGGGAAAGCAGGCTTCCTGCGGAGCAAAGAGCCCTATGTGGGTCTCAATCCCAGCACCCTGGGATCATGACCTGAGCTGAAGACAGACGCTTAAAGACTGAGGCACCCAGGCGCCCCTCTTGATGACTATTTTTGAAAGCTCATTCAGAATTCCTAGTTTTATTGCTCAGAATAACAACTCTTTATCTATACCTGCTCAATCAAATATTCAAATATCACATGTGAGGCCAGGGGCTTATACAGCAGGAAGTTCTACTGAATAGTGCTTATGTAGACATCTCAACAATTACCTTTCTGTGAAAATATATGGACTGTAAGGGGAAAAAAGGAAAGAGAGGATCAAAGTGCAACAGTCATCACAAGGATATTCTCAAGACTTTCTATAGAGCACAAATAAAAGAACAAACGGAAGTGTGAAATCTTAAGGGTCAAACACTACCCCCAGGTACTACTACTGGACACACTGCAGAATCCCAAGACTCCCAATAAGCATAAATCTCATGCTCTATAAATCAAGCGTGGAGAGACCACAGAAATAGTTTCACTTTCTAATTTGGGAGTACTAACATAAAACACTGGACTTCCTCCACACCATGCGCCAGAATGTAAGCTCCCCGGAGGGCAAGGTTTTGTCTGTTTTGTGCGCTATTCTAATCTCAGTACCTGCTTCTATAACAAATATTTGTACTTAATAAATATTTGTAGACTGAATGGATAAATGTACCTATTTCCTAAGAACACATACCTAGTCTAAGGATAAATAGTTATCAATCCTAAGACATTACATTCCAGTGTCTTCTTTCAGATCCTAAATGTACTGGGCTAATTACTGCCTTAGGGCCTTTGCTGAGTGTCATTTCCTATCCCTAGAAGGCTTCTCCCATGATCCCCACATGACTGACTCCCTTACACCAGCGGAGTCTCACTGCATGTTGGGTAAGTCTTTGGTGACTACTTGCATCTAAAATGAGAAATCACCACTCCTGCCACTCTCTGTTGATTTAACTTCCTTTATCGTAGTGCTAATCACTATTTAAGATGATCTAGGTGGTCTACTGCTTATTACCTATCCATACCTCGGCGATATAAACACAAGACAACCTCGTCAGCCTTGTGGAATCCACAGTATCAGGTGCACGGTAGATGTTCCATAAGTGTGAAGGCGATCATTCTAGGGATGTGAGCATTTTCTACCCAAACCAAATTAACTGAATTCTTTAGCTCAGCATCTCCATCTATTAAACTATTATACTATCTGGTTTTACTCACAATACCAAGAATTATTTTTCACCCTTCCCTACACCAAACTGTCAAATGGAATCATGACAAACTTTACTCAGACTTACTGCCAGTGTTTTATATAATTTATTTTTCCACCGCCAGCACTTGGCTGAAGTTTGATATCCTAACCAAAACGAGGCTATGTTATTGGGAGCAGCAGAAGCAAGATAACTGAAGAAAAATGATGCAGACATTAATGAGGTACTATGATATATTAACTTCTACAGCAAGTTTGAAACAAGAGCATAATTCTTAATTAGTCACAGTCTGAGACAAACTCCTCAAAGCAGCCTTCAAAACAGAGGCCAGCCACATCACAAGACACTGCTGAACACTGCTAGAAGTCTCTGCACGGGTGAGGCTAAGGCTGCTCCAGAAGAAACGTCCACCTGCAACATTACTCAACGCACAGCACTTCATAACCATTTTCTTCCAGATTCTGCACGTTTTAAATCATAGTCAAATACACTGATGTGAATTAAATAAAAAGTAATGTATGCATACAAGAGCCAAGCAAATACAAGAAATTTGAGAGGGGAAAAAAATACAGCATTTGACTAAAAGGTAATGTTATTTTCTTCTTCGTGTCTAAATTTTTAAAAAGCAGGAACCTAAAAACAAGGAGCCGGGTGGGTGGTGGTGGTGGGGGGGGATGTCTTGAAATATTTTATGTATTTTTAAAGGTCTTTATGTAAACTAATTAATGACGTGTACTGAAATCAAAGAAAGTTAGCTTGCCTTCAAGCCAGACAGAAAACCAACTACAATGAGCCTCCGAATAAATGGCTAGGGCTCCTTCACTACAGCCATCTATTTTCAGTTCCCCTGTTTTCGGGAAGAGAACTTTAAAGTGCGTTTTCTAACTCCACGAGTCGCAAAGAGGAAGAGGTCACTTGGTGTCCCGCTCCTGGCAGAAGCAGGTTTCCCGAGCTCCGCCCCAGAGAGCCCCGGCGCCGGCCCCGCCCGGGTACGCGCAGCCCGCCGGTGCACCGGAGCCAGCGCCCCAGCCCGCCTGCTGCGCGGCGTGGCGGCGCGGGGCCGGCAGGGCCGACAGGGCCTGCCTGACCGGGGGCGTGGGCAGCAGCGGTGTTCCGGGGCTGGAGCAGCGCCAGCCCTCCGCCTCCCGACCACAGCGGCAGAGCGCAAGGCGGCGGCCACCTGACAACGCGCACAAACAAGAAGGCGCGGCAGCCGCGGGGACTTCGCGCCTCTGGGACACCGGGCCTGGGGGCCCCCCCGCCCCCCAGGCTGCGCTTACCCCAACCTCCTCGGCTTCCTCCTTCTCCTCCTCTGGCCGTGGGCACCCACGGGCCCCAGAGCCCCCCGCTACGGTTCTCAGCTGATGGGCGGTGGCACTGGGGCTCCCAGTCCGCATGCGCACAATTCAGCTCTGGGAAGGAGGCGGGGCTGGCTCCCCTCTCGTTGGCCGGCGAGATTGAGTGACAGCCACTCTTCCCCGCCCCCTCTGAGTCTCAGCTAAGGAATAAGGTACCAAGAAAATTGCAAGGGAGGTGTTTTTGAGGCCTCGACTAACGGAAGGCAAACGTCTTAGCCAGCGTCCAAAAAACCAGAGGAGGGAACGGAGAACATCCGTCTTTATCGGGTGATGGCGGCCTCCCTAGACTCGTATCTTCAGCCCGCCCCATCAGGTCCGCCCATCTTCTCCTTACTCTGCTTTAAAACGTATTCAGGGCTCCATTAAAAAATGCTAAAGCAAATATGCAATCCTAGAGGGAACAATGACAAAATAAGTGAAGAGTCACCCTCGTGTGCCCATATAGTAGACAGATTTTCTTTTTCTTTTCTTTTTTTTTTTTAAGATTTTATTTATTTATTTGACAGAGATCACAAGTAGGCAGAGAGGCAGGCTGAGAGAGGTGGGGGAGGGGGGGAAGCAGGCTCCCTGCTGAGCAGAGAGCCCAATGCAGGACTCCATCCCAGGACCAGAAGATCATGATCCCAGCCCAAGGCAGAGGCTTAACCCACTGAGCCACTCAGGCACCCCTCAGCTTACTTTTAATCGTCTGCTTTTAAGAGAAAAATGGGAACAAGAAATATTTCCTATTTCACATCTTTCCTGAAGAAAACTACAGTAAGTGTTTTAATAAATTAATAAACAGCAACTTACATTCTGCCTCTAAAAAGGGAGCAATAGAGTGGCCATGCTGGCCAAGCAAAAGGAATTCATCCTATCTAAAGGCAGCATGATTCAGTTAGCACCAACTGCACTTTGAGGAAATTCAGATTTTTATGTGAAATTCTTCTTTTTCAATATTTTTAGACTTTTGTATAACATTCTGTGATCAAATAAAGTAGGTATTCCAACTTCTATAATAGGCAATAGTTTCAACCATAGAATATAAACAAACAAACAAACAAAAAGCTGGAGGGGACCTTACAGAAAATCTAGCTCTAATCCTTCATTTAGCAAGTAAGTTAAGGAAACTGAAAACCAAAGAAACTTCATCAAAAGTACACAAACAGGGGCACCTGGGTGTCTCAGTGGGTTAAAGCATCTGTTTTCTGCTCAGGTCATGATCCCAGAGTCCTGGGATCTAGCCCCAATGGTGCTCTCCACTCAGCAGGGAGCCTGCTTCCCTTCCTCTCTCTCTGCCTGCCTCTCTGCCTACTTGTGATCGCTGTCTGTCAAATAAATAAATAAAAATATATTTTTTAAAAAAGTACACAAATAATTATGAGCAACATAGGTCCAGATGACTTAATTCAGAATCTTTAGTTTTTCCTGCCATATCACGCATTCAGCAAATATTCATTGAGAGGCTGCCATGTGGCCTGTACTATTTCAGGAGCTTCAGGTATCAAGATTTGTGGGGTGTATAGTATTTTCCCTCAAGGAACTCAAGAAGTGAGATCCTTCCCAGGATACTGTAAGAAGTACTGTGATAAATATTTGTACACAGCATGGCAGGAGCCCTGGGATAAGGATGACTTAGTATGTGGTCAGGGACCATTTCAAGGGGGAAGTGTTAACAGAATCTTAAAAGATGTGTAATAGTTCCCTGGGAAGACAAGATGAGAAAGGACATTCCAGTCAAAAGGAAGAGCACATAAAAATTCACAGGCAAGTGCAAACTCTTAGGGATCTCCACATAATTTTATTTAGATGGAGCACAGTGGGTGAATTCGAGGGCCAAAAGACTGGAAAGGCAAGTGGAGTTTATGTAATGAAAAACCTTTTCTATATCATGTTAAATGAGTATCTAAGAGGAGCTGAACTATTAAAGGATTTTGAACAAAAGTGTGATGTGCTTATAATTCTGTGCTATGAAGAAAACTGGAGAAATGGGGGATATTCAAAGGAAATAACACTGATACCGGAGAGAGAGAGAGAGAGACTGCAACCATTTAAAAAGCTGTTGTAGGGGTGCCTGGGTGGCTCAGTGGGTTAAGCCGCTGCCTTCGGCTCAGGTCATGATCCCAGGGTCCTGGGATCGAGTCCCACATCGGGCTCTCTGCTCAGCAGGGAGCCTGCTTCCCTTCCTCTCTCTCTCTCTGCCTGCCTCTCTGCCTACTTGTGATCTCTGTCAAATAAATAAAATCTTTTAAAAAAAAATAAATAAATAAATAAAAATAAAAAGCTGTTGTAGGGGGTCAGGAGAGGGGGTGGGGTTATGAACGTCAGGGAGGGTATGTGCTATGGTGAGTGCTGTGAAGTGTGTAAACCTGGCGATTCACAGACCTGTACCCCTGGGGCTAATAATACATTTATATGTTTATAAAAAAATAAAATAAATAAAAAATAAATTAAAAGCTATTGTAATAGTAGCACATCCCCAATTTAGAATCTCCCCAGTATCAGAGATGCTGAAAGATGGTCTTAAGACAAATGCACTGGGAAAGAAAAGGGAAGGCCTGCTTCGAGAAATATTAGGAAGACTTGGAAATTAATTGGACATGAAGAACGGAAGAGATGACTACTATTTTCGGGATGTGAGCTGAATGTGATGTAGCTGTCCGGGATCTAAGGTCGCTAATAGAGTAATTGCAGTTTGAGGATGATGGTGCTGGAATGGGGGAGCAAAGCTACATTAAGTTAAGCTTTGGATGTGTTGTAGTTAAAATTCTGGGGAAGTGATATTCAGTTTGTGATGTCCTCCAGGTACTTTGAAAATGTGAGCTGGAATTCAAGGTAGAGCTCTGGCTGGAGCTATGAGAAGAGATGAAGTCATTAACTCTCAGGATGGAATGTTATGGACTCCTGTGTTTCAGGGAGGGCTGAGGAAAAAAAAAATCCTGAAAAGGAGTAATCAGAGAGCTGGAAAGTACACCAGGGAAAAGGTGTAGGAGAGAATGAAGGAAAACATTTCAAAAAGAGGAAATGCTCTATGACATCACATGTCACAGAAAGTTCAAGTAAATTAAGAACCAAAAGTTGTGCCTTGGACATGAGAATTAGGAAGCAGTTGGTGAACACAAAAGGGAATTTTAATCATTCAAGGAACGATCATGAAAAGAACTCATATCTGCATAAGTCCTATTGCATTTTTCAAATGTCTTTCCTGTTTCCTGAACCCAGGGCTATGGGAGGGAAAGTACAATGTAACAGAGAATCTGAGGTTCAGTGGCCTCTTCGGGTTCTGTTCCTCGTTACTGACTGACTGAACCAAAACCAAGGTTCAGCTCTTTGAATACTTCTCCTGGGCTCTTTCCATTTTTTTTTTTTTCATGTTTTGAAATATGTCATGAGTGGATTCCTTTCAGGTCCTTTGAACACTAGACTGTATGGTAACCCTGCAAAATTTAGAGTCACAGAGGGCAAATGAATTCCAAAAGCATTCCTGACATTTGTAGCAACCCATCTGAGCCTCTGCCTGCGATTTAGGGGAATTCAGTTGGGGGGCCTTGAACCCTGTGGGACTCAAAATTCTGCCCATTTAATCAGTAATCATTTCATTTCTCAAACAAGTCCTTTATACTTGCAGGAGTTACTTACATAGGAAGCCTTGTAATTTGGATATTTCTAGAGCTAGTAATTTTGGGGATTTGGGTCTTCTTGGAAAGATTTTTCAAGGGCAATCAGAAGTCCTGAAGTGGGAATTGTATCAACATATTTGTTGTGTCCTTATTAATATAAATACCACCCCTGCCGTGTAGGATGGGGACGTCTCCCATTGCTCTAGCTCCAGTGTTTGGAAGAGCAATTCCAGCGCATGGAAGGAGATCATTACCTATTTATTCAATGGTCCATGAACTAAAATTAATTTTTAAAAGACCACCGTGTGACCTTGTGGGAGAGCCAGAGAAGAGACACAAGAGGAAAAATATAGCAAGACTAGGAATTTATTGATAAATGAGAGGTACAAGTTGACTTATAAGAGTGTACTTTTGATTTATAATACAATGGAAAAACCACAGCTATTCTAAGAAATATATACTAGTTTAAAAGGTAGCTTAAATGAATATCTAATAAATAAGAGTTTGTTTTATTGTGCCTTATTCTGAAGCATCTCCATCTCCCTCTGCCCTGTGCTTGTTTTCTAAAACCATACAAGTGCCTAGTGATAGGTCAAACACAGAACAGATTCTGCTCTGACTTTTAAACACACGTAGTAAATAAGCATCCCATAGAAATCTTACATGAACAATTATGGTAGGATGATTGGTATGTTCAATGCCAGTTTCACGTCCTACACATTGTTGGCATGTCCCTCTGTCTGTGTCTCAATCCACGGCAGCAGCCTCCTCATCAATGTCTCTGTATCCAGTTCTACTCAAGTTCATTATCATCAAAGCTACTCCTGAGTATTGGAAGCATGGATCAGAAAACATCACTCCAGGGGGCGCCTGGGTGGCTCAGTGGGTTAAAGCCTCTGCCTTCAGCTTGGGTCATGATCCCAGAGTCCTGGGATCGAGCCCCATATCAGGCTCTCTGCTCAGCAGGGAGCCTGCTTCCTCCTCTCTCTCTCTCTCTCTCTCTCTCTCTCTCTGTCTGCCTGCCTCTCTGCCTAATTGTGATCTCTGTCAAATAAATAAATAAAATCTTTAAAAAAAAAAAAAAGAAAAGAAAACATCACTCCAGGCTTTATGGCATCCCCATGATTGCAGCATGCAATCCTTAAAATGACTCCTTAAAAATGAAAATGCTTGGGCTTGGCAGGGCTGGGAGGTTGTGTACGTTGGAGGAAGGAATCAGCAAAGGGCATCTGTAGGGAAACCATATTTTGATATAATCTTGAAGATTCACAGCACACGTTTGTAAATAAAAATCTGGACGATGTGGTTCAGCAAAATAGCACGTATAACTTTCTTTAACTCAGGTTTTTTCTGAATGTATTTGATGGTAGCATTTTATATTAAATGTTTGTGAAGACCTTCAAAATACACATTGTGGAAAACATTGCTCTCAACATCAAGTCCAAACCCCTTCTCATGGTATATAAATAGGGTGATTGATGATATGTCCAGTTTGCCTAGG